AAAAAATTGAAAGTTAGTATCTTTAAATAAAAAAAATTAAAAATTAATGTTTTTATTTAAAAATTAATAAAATTAACATTTTTAAATAAAAAAAATATAAAATTAATATTCTTATTTACACTTTTACTTCAAAACTTTACCCGCCAGTTTATCTTCCCAACCATTTGTCAATCAAAATTTATTGCATTTTTTTTTTTTGGTTTCCCGCCAGTATCCGTGGTTTTGCCCCAATTAATCCGAACCCGACTCGCGTCGCACACCTGAAAATGGTGGGTGAGTCTCCCAGCGAGGGCTGCTGCATACATAAGGTTTCGAACTCAAGACCTTATTTAAGCTGAAACAAGCCGCTTACCACTTAATTCAACCCTTCGTTGATATCAAAATTTATTGCATTAGCTCAGGGGAATTATTATAATTTTTTTAACTATATAAAATAAATCATATTTTCTTTGTAATAATTTAAATTGTACAACAAAATTATTTTAATTATCCATAGTATAAATATCTTTGATGTGTGATTCATATTATCATTTTATGAATTTTCTACTCACATTATCGGATTCGAATCCCTGACCCCCATTTCCCCTTCCCCTTATCTCCTATTCCCTTTGTACAAAATAATAATAATAATAATTATCCATCATATAAGTCTATATGACATGCATATTATGATCAATGACTACTAAAAATTCATTCTAAAAATTGGACTTAATTTTCACTTTTTTTTGAACAGTTGCAATTTGATTGCACCAACCAACTAATCTACAAGGCTTGGTCTCAATTTTCTCTATTAGTCCTTATGCAAAATAGCATGCCCTTTGTCAAGTTTACTATAGTCTACAAAGCTTTGTCTTTCGTTTGCAAGGGAATTTTTTTTTTTTTTGGCTGAAGACAACCTTTAAATAGAGAAAATCAGACAAATATGAAGAAAGAATTTACACAATTTCTTACACTGAATCACTCATCTCACCTTGCATGGACAACAACCATATAAGTCTTTCAAAATAAACGTCAGAGTATATGAAAAAGATTTGGATACATCCACATCTAGAGAGGAAAACACAGGATGATGACAGATAAACTGAAACTTTTCCAGAGGAAAACAGGGTACAGGGAATCAGGTGCTCTTATTTTTTACTGCTATTGCAGACGACTTAAACCAAGGAATCCACGCTGAAGTTGTCTTCTGATAAATTCTATATGCTTCAGCTCTGTAGTCCTGCTTCAACATCCTCTGCTCCACAAGCACAGTGACATAAACTAAGCACATACTGTTGATCAGTGATCCAATGAAGGTCCATCCATGTCCAAGGTTCCCTGCGAATAAAACCAGTCCCCACCACCACAGTTGCTCTCCAAAGTAGTTTGGATGACGTGAGTACTGCCACAACCCCCTCTCAAGATTAGCCGCTAGAGGCTTTCCAAGCTCTTTTAGCTTCTGGTTTCTAGTAACAAAATCATGCAGTTGGGTATCAGCAAAGTATGCAATGACAATGCCACATAAACATACTGCAGCAGCAACAAAGTGCCAAACGTTCAAGGGCTTATCGACCACGTGAACCGCATACAATGGGAGACAAACTCCTATCGAGAAAACCTGCAGAATTTAAGTAAGCCATTTAGTTACAAGAAAACGCATGTTTCTGTGTCCAATAAAACTTCTCTCTCCTATTTTAGTTGTCCTCACCGTGTTCAAATCAACACTTAGCAATGAACAAATCTGGTTCAGGTAATTCGTCCAACACTTGATCCAAATAAGAAAAATGGCCGCTTTAACCATCAAAAGGATAAACCTTTACCATATAAACCAGCCGTTTAACTAACTAAATTACCTGCTGAGAAACGTAGACAGCAAAGAACGAAATCCACCACCATTGTTTTCCATATTGTCGGCTCATATCGGTGAACCTCCAGTCTTCCCTGGCACCCCACTGCCACCTCTCTACCGGAAATAGTTATGGGTGAGCCTAATACTCCATACCCATGTCAGCAGTATCACTATGATGGATCTCCACGAGTTATACTGCGCCAGAGGGTGCGTTGCATAATAATGAGCCAGCAAAACCGGGATCACAGTCCAATACAAATCTATCATCTGCAGCAAGCAAAACCAACCAACAACTAAGGAAAAAAAAAAACTTTTAACCAAACAAAAAGTGAAAAAAGATAGAGATAGGACAGACCCAGTGGCTGGATTGGAAATGGCTGATGACCCAGAAGAGGACATTAACGTTGAAGAAGAAGAAGAGGTTGGCTAAAAGGAGGGGGTGGTGAAAACACCATGACCAGAGAGGGGACGTAGAATTGCGATCAAAGTGGTTAAGGAAAGAGAGGTAGAAGAGGATTGAGGGAAGAGGAACCAGAATTCCAATCACTGCGTTCGTCAAATTCCTGCCCATCTTCTTCTGATCTGAGTCATGCAGAGAAACACATAGCAAGCAGACCAGAACCCACTTCACAACCCACAAAGAGAACCCCAAATTCATTCTACAAAAATGAAACTTTCAGAGATCAAGAGCAACGTACATTGCCTCAAATTTAGAGAGTGGAGTACTACTGATCTGGGTCTTATCAGGGGTGTCCATCACCTCTGCATATCTTACCCTCCAGTCTCCACTATCGACTCACACCTTTTCCTTATCTCTCCTTCTATATCAAACAAAACCCAAGTACCCCTTTACTTTATCCTTCTACTTTGGCCTATATTGGGTGTGGATTTTTTTAAGAAGCGGGAAAGCGGGAGTTGGGGATTTTCTCGTGGGGTGGAGTGAGGAGTGGGGATAGAGAGAAGCGGCCTACAATGAGCAAAGCATAAAGGAAAGCTCCACAGCCACAGCTGCCTGTATTTGTGTCAAGAGTGGTTGTTAACTTCTTATTATATTGGGAGATGCTGAATCATCAGCTATGTATCTTAATTGATTCACCTTTAAATAAAGTAACGTACAGTGCTTGATCCTCTTTTTACTGTTTTTATTGTTCATCAAGTGATTATTAACCTTTTGTTAGGCTTAATTCAATTTTTAATCTATTAATTATAAGTTTAATTTCATTTTAATTTAAAAAGTTTGTTTTGTTTCTAAATGGTCTATAAACTTTAAAAATATTTCAAAATAATCCTTGGTACAAAATTTTGTTAAATTTAACAGAAAGAATAGTTCTTTAAGTTTAAAAAAAGTGATACTATAATCTTAAAAATATGATAACTCAAAAAATATTTTATAGAGATAGATTAGTTAAAATTTGTAATAAATTTGAGTAACTAGTTTGTTTTATGGGGTAAATTGTATGCAGTCTGTTCTAAAAATTATTTAAATATTTCAAAAAAAAGAATATAAAAGTAAAATTAAGGATATTTAAATAATTTTACAGAATATACTGTATATAGTCCGCTCTATAAAATAGTTATCTAAAAAACACATTTAATAAGATAAGATTAAAACCTATTTTTATGGTGAATATAAATTTAAAGACTAAAATATCAAAAGAAATATAGTTAGAAGACTAAATTTTTTTTTATAGAATAAGAAGATTTCATTAAATATAACAGACATTTTCATTAAGATAATGAACTAGATGAAATTAAAATAAATGTGAAAGATAATAAACGAGATTGAAAAAATTTTAAAATAATAAATGAAACTAAAAAGAATATAAAAGTTAATAAATGATTCATTAAATTAACCCTATTTTGTTAACTTTATTTATATCCAAATTAATAATTTGTTAATTGATTATTAATGGAATATTACCAGTCATATGACGAATATTATAAATTTACTTTAAGTAAAGATTATTTTTTTTTAATTTGTATAAACGAGAGATTAAAGTGTTATAATATAAATTGAAAAATTAAAATTTATAAATTTATTAAGATAAAATATTAAAAAAAGATTTTCGCCGGTAAAGTCCGAGTCCCCCAAACTGATCTACACGCTTAAGCACTTTAGGAGCATAGGTCCAGTCCCT